CCGTTTAGCCGCTATCTGAGATCAAAGTTGGGCCTCAAAAGCCCCTTCAGTCTGAAATGGGTTTAAAAATCGGGTATTTCTTCTTGTCTTCTTTTCTTCACCAAAAAATAGAAAAAGTTCAAAATGTATGATTTTTGTATGTAATGTGGACACAGAGGTTCCCACATCAGTTTGCAAAACAATTGAGCTGGTATCATGTTGATAATTTCTAAACATTAGCAAAAAACTGCTCTGGGGTCCGCGCGGACCCCAGGTGTACAGATTAATCAGTCCGGGAAGGTGTACTGTTGAGGGTTAAGACGAAGGAAACAGTCACGCTCCACATTCAGTAGAACGAAACGTCATGAACTGTCGTTTATACCACGGGCTTTGAAGATATTATCTCAGCATTCTACATGGTGGTATATTGATTTTATATAGAGTCTGTAAATATGGCTCTTTTAATTATTATGACTGTATTATATGTATTCTGTAAATTGATGATCAATGACCAGATTTTAATATTATATCTCTGTCATTTTAACTTATTGGATAGTCCATGATACGTGCAGTGTTTGTGAAAATTCGACATATTTCATGTACCATATGATTGTGTGACATGCCAGTCGATTTTTAAATAAACTCAAACTAAAAATATTCAAAAGAGGGTAAGTCAAGAACCGTTTTTCGGATCGTCATGATTTTTGGTATGTGGGTAGCTTACGTGATGCTTAATATAATTATGGGACAATTATGCAAATATGGATGTGATTTGCATAATTTATTGAGAAACTATATAAATCAGCTGCTTTTCATGATAGGACTATTCAAGCCTGTGACATTGGTAATTGAGAACAAGAGAAACACAGGCGGATATTGATTATGTAAATACAGACTTAATTTGCATAATTAATGACAAAATTTTGTAACTATGTAATGATAACTGACTGGAATTTCATACTTGTGGTATTTGAAAGTTGAGTGAAGGTGAACATAATTGAACATAATTTATTCAAATCAGTACCTCATTTGCATAATTTATCAGGAAATGCTAGAATGGCATTGTTTGTTAACATAAGACTGCCTTTTGGTTGAGAATATGTTAAACTGATATTATTCATGAAAATAAGGATCCTATTTGTTAAATCAGGCGGGAATAATCTATAATTTGTCAGTCATAAAGATTAACATCATTTGGCGAAGGTATGCGCCGGCATCGGCTGCATGACAGAACATCTAGAATATGTCTAAAAAATTCCAGACTCGAGTGATTATTCAAGAACATCTACCAAAAACACACTACATACGATTCAGATACATTCTTACACATGTATTCTTGTTGTACCTGTTACTAAACAACGTTTACGGCGCGGAAAGAGCACAGAAGCCATGATTGTTTGGCCGGCGTGCCGAGTACTTCGTCTAATACGGGGAATACATCGTAACGTTCTGGAGTCAAATGATAGACCGTACTAAAAACATAACCGTACTAAGAAGATTTTAGAAATAGTAGAAGTATAATAGTAAATCTTTGTAGAAGAAAGTCGGCTGAAGCCAGAGTTTTTTCACAACATATCTGGATTAGACCGGTTCCCTCCTTTTTCCTTTGTTTACAAACCGACGCCATTTTGTGTCACAGTTTATAAACCTATAGCCCCATGTTTTATTTTAATTCGTGTAGCTAAGGAGGTTATACACCTACCTGCATTTCAAATCCCAAATAACACATTCAAGGCAATGTTCAGCGTTCTATTTCTAGCAACCATTTTTGTCGATCACTGTCGATGCTATGTTTCAGTTACTCGCGCGAGCCGACACAAAGCTTTTGTGATTTTTGTCAAAATTATTTCTTCAAACCATGGAGCTTCAGGTTCCAACCGACGACTTCGACACGGTTGCACGACGGAACGGATGGGGGGGGGTTAGTTTTAGATTTACCATATGATGTCCCCAAATAAGCCAAGAAGCTTAAAAAAACATACGGTGGGGAAGTAAATTTTATTCTCGTTCGCTACCGCGACGTAGTTTTGACTTCTCTTTGTCACGGTACAATGATAGGCGTCCACTTGGGGAATATGAACTTTCCCTGATAAATACGATATATACGACTGGAAAAATTCCTTGAACTGTCAAAGAAAATCTTCTCAAAGCGTCGGTTGATTTGCATCGAGCCAACGCACTGTTGTCTTTAAAACTCGCGCCCGGGAGGAGAACAATAGGGCCACGCTGGTCGAAATTTCCATTTCACTGGCCTTCCTGGGAAGGAGGTGAGAACGAACCGCTCTGATCTCACCCGACGTCCTCATTATAACTCTAAAACAAACCCTCTGTTCCACGTGAATTTTGAACTAAAACGCAGAAAATGTATTTTGAGCAATATCTCCCGATCCTATCGGTAGAATCCGATAAAAAATAAACCAATCGGAAAAGTAAACATCTGGCCGCCATCTTGAAAAAAATGACGTGATTCTCTTGCGCCGTTATGGAATTATGGGAGAAAACATACTAGAAAATCGACAAAATAAGTTAAAAACTGACAGACAAGAAAAATTCTACAAGAGAAATGAAATTTAAAGGTCCTAAAGTCTACAGTATGGATAAAACATATGTTTGATTCGTAAATTAGCGAAATGTAGCGGTAGGTTAAAGTTCAATGACCCAAAATGACCTCATGTACGCACATACAGTCGGCGGGAAATTCGAATTGCATTCTACGTTGTCATTTCTTATTTTATACATATTTGGGGAGCGAACTAATTTTTTTGTGTCTGCGTGATTCTTTTTCTAACTTCATAATCGCATCGTGCGTTATATTGGGCGAAAGTTGTGTTGTTTATCTGAACACTGCCGCTGCTCACTGGGCACCGGGTTGTGGGCGGGGCCTATTTGCTTAGCAACGAGGATTTTAACATAGCAACGGGACCACTTTGGGTTGTTAAAAGCTTCTTGACACTCACGGGACCAATAGAAAGGATGTGCCGATTGTCTACAACCTTTCTTCTTACCCGCTTGCCCTACTGTCAGTTTCTGCAAAGGATTAGCTAATTTGACGAACCTCATGTAGTAGGAGTAAAAAACTCAGAAAAGACTTGACTTGCTTCACAGTTTTAGGTTCTGGCCAATCCTTTAACACGGCACACTTCTCTGGGTCTGTGGCTACTCCTTTCTCTGACACCACGTGTCCCAGGTATTTGACACGTTACATATATACGTCTGGGCTTGATTTTTTTTGTTTTTTATTGAAATTGCAGCAATGCAATAATGCAATACACCGGGAACAGAGGCAGCTGTTGCTGGTGTTGTGTCCCGCACATAGAAACGAATACTGGACAGACAATACTCATTTTCACTTGAGTCTAGTGGGGGAAGTCGTGTTAAGTGCCTTTCCCAAGGGCGCAAGGTCGATGGCATGTCAGGACTCGAACCCCGTTGCGCCACACGACCCCACCATGGGCTTCCTATAATCAACACATTCTCCTACAGCACGTCCGTTCTGAGAAGCGTATTTTGTAGCGTCCACCGGTGTCTCCACACCATCCGCTACCGACAGCGGAACCCCATGTAATGGTCCCCACTCGCACCCAACTGTGGCTCCGGCAGCCACCGCAACATTAAATTCAGAACAGTTTAGGGCAGTTTCCATTTACTGATAGTGGCATGTGCTCTATGTGTTGATGTAAATTCTCCATCTTCTGTGTATAATTAAATTTGTGATTTGTCTGGCTATTTTCATCAGCCTTGTTATTTCTAACCTAGAAATAAAGTGATGATGTCCCCGCTCTAGCAACGTAATGCGAGTAATGATCTTATCTCTAAATTTTTCCTGAGTCATTTTCCCTGAGTTCCCTCAGTCAAGTTTTGATACAATTCGTGGCTGGATCACTCTCCTCTCTTCTTTTGTCTTGTTCTTAGACTTTGTCCAGGCCATTCTTTTGCAGTTTATAATTTAAAATTACTTTTCCAAGTTTTCTTCTATAAAAAAAATGCCAACAATGAAAACTTATCCGAATAGCCAAAAGCCAAAAAGCTTTAAAATTTCATTTAACAAGAAGAGACCTGATCTTTCATCCCTCTCACCATGTGGTAATTTACCATTCTCTCACGGGGCATATAATGTATCTCGCCATCTGTCACGAGCCATTTAACATAATCTGGTAGTGGTTCCTTCTCAAATAGCTTATTGATATCCTTATTGATTTAATTGTCACCTCACGCTTGGTTTCCTTCTTTACCAGCCACTTTACGAAGTGCTTCATAGTCGTTTTTGTACACTTCCACATAGCTTTCATAAACAGCCTATATTACTATTAGGGGTATTGGAGAAAATGTTGTTTTGTTGTTAGCCATTTACAGTGTAGCTTATTAGAAAGAGCTCATTAAACTGAACAAAATGGGTTTTGTTTGAAGTAAATCGGATGTTGTATGGCGGAGATATTTGCAATTTAAGTCCCCATTTTGGGGTCTTCGTTGTTACGAATTCGGTAAAATACGCCATTTGTATCATTTTTCATATGCTAATATCATAAAAAAGAAACATCACACAGACTTAAATTTACTTGTACAATGCTCTATTGATATCATATTAAATGATGTGTAAAAACCAGAATCATTGCATTATTATTTACAGAAATACATAATCCTAGAATATTGAACAATATGCCCCTCGCAAGCACGCATGGAAACCTTCGATTTACCCAAAATGCCAAAAATTTCTAAGTCCCCCTAATTACATATGCAAAACCACAATAATAAGACTACGGAACTCTTTCCTCCACCAGTCAATCAGACTCTATAACCGGACTGTACAGATAGTCTGGCACAGGATAATGGACCTTGTAAATATCTGGGTTGTACACTTACTGTACTGTTTTTATAGTTGTTGTAAATATATACTTTTTTGACATTTTATCTTGTAAATATCAACGCCATTCAGGCAACATTGTATGTCATGTTTGTTACGTTTGGTATCAAAATAAAAGAATTGAATTGAATTGAATAAACAGTTCACCAGCATTCTTTACTTCCATTTCCTTCACTCTGCCCACTGCCCAATCGTCTTCATATGCAACAATCAGGTAACTGTCTACAGCTGGAGGTCTTGCACAGTCTTCAGTCTCCTCCACCACACGACTGTCCTCCACCACATGACTGTCCTCCACACAACCGCCCTCCACCACATGACTGTCCTCCTCCACACTACCGTACTCCACCACACGACTGTCCTCCACCACACGAATTTCCACCACACGGCTGTCCTCCACCACAGGACTGTCCTCCTCCACACTACCGCCCTCCACCACACGACTGTCCTCCTCCACACTACCGCCCTCCACCACACGACTGTCCACCACTATGTACACTATGTACGATAATGTTGATGTTAGCCTCTATGTGCGATAATGTTGATGTTAGCCTCTATGTACGATAATGTTGATGTTAGCCACTATGTACGATAATGTTGATGTTAGCCTCTATGTACGATAATGTTGATGTTAGCCGCTATGTACGATAATGTTGATGTTAGCCACTATGTACGATAATGTTGATGTTAGCCTCTATGTGCGAAAATGTTGATGTTAGCATCTATGTACGATAATGTTGATGTCAGCCTCTATGTACGATGATGTTGATGTTAGCTTCTATGTACGATAATGTTGATGTTAGCCTCTATGTACGATAATGTTGATGTTAGCCTCTATGTGCGAAAATGTTGATGTTAGCATCTATGTACGATAATGTTGAAGTTAGCCTCTATGTACGATAATGTTGATGTTAGCCTCTATGTACGATAATGTTGATGTTAGCCGCTATGTACGATAATGTTGATGTTAGCCTCTATGTACGATAATGTTGATGTTAGCCTCTATGTGCGAAAATGTTGATGTTAGCATCTATGTACGATACTGTTGATGTTAGCCTCTACGTACGATAATGTTGATGTTAGCCTCTATGTACGAT